GGGGCGTCGGGGTGGATGGGCGGGGCGTCGGGGTGGATGGGGAGGAGCGTCGGGGCGGATGGGGAGGGGCGTCGGGGTGGATGGGCGGGGCGCCTGGGCGGATGGGGAGGGGCGTCGGCGGCCACTCACCGAAACACTTGCTCTGGTTGGTAGCTCGATCCATAAACACCTTGGAGGAAATGATATTGCCGAAGGGCAGGAACATCTGCGTCAGCTCCGTGTCTCCAAACTCCTGGGGGAGGTGGTAGATAAACAGGTTACAGCCTTCGGGACCTGCAGGTGGGGGAGAGAAAGACATAAAGCCCCCAAGGAGAGGAGGCGGACCCCCCCCGGGGGAGGGGCACAGGTCTGGAGCCCGCATCCGGCTTCTCCAGCTGTCGGGAGAGGGGTGACCCAGACACCCAGAAAGAAGGGGCCTGGGCACGGGCTGGGGACGGAGACAGGACACACCCACCCCTCGCCGGCACCAGACGGTCCCACACTGGGCTACTCTGCACCACCGGTGATCCTCAGACTCCAGGTAACTGACAAGACCCACAGCCCAGATCAACCCTCAGTCCCCGACCCCGGATACCTGAAAACTCCCCAGGAAGCCCGCCCTCCAGAAAATCCCTCCCTAAACCTCAAACTCCGGATCATGTACAAAAGTCAGACGAGCTGGGAGTGCAGAATAAGGAAACTTGGTAATATCTTTGCAATAATAATAGTAAGTCTCTAAAATAAAACTCGTTTGTAAAAGTCTGGTTTTCAGCCATCATGCCTGGCCAATTTTTTTTTTTTTGGGTTTTTTTTTTTTTTTTCAGATGGAGTCTCGCTCTGTCGTCCAGGCCCTGGAGTGCAGTGGCGCAATGTTGGCTGACTGCGACCTCCACCTCCCGGGTTGAAGCAGTTCTCCTGCCTCAGCCTCCAGAGTAGCTGGGATTACAGGCGCCCACCACCACGCCCAGATAATTTTTGTATTTTCAGTAGAGATGGGGTTTCACCATGTTGGCCAGGCTGGTCTCGAACTCCTGACCTCAAGTGATCCGCCTACCTCAGCCTCCCAAAGTGCTGTGATTACAGGTGTCAACCACTGCACCCAGGCCGGCTAATTTTTGTAGAGGTTTCCCCGTGTTGCCCAGGCTAGTCTGGAACTCCTGATCTCAAGAGATCCTCCCTCCTTGGGCTCCCAAAGTGCTGGGATTACAGGGATGAGCCACTGCGTCTAGCCAAAAAAATTTTTTTTAATTTCACTTTCTCAAGCCCCAGACAGGGATAACTCTCCAGACCTTGGATAATTTTCAAAACTCAGATGATGCAGAAACAAAATCAGGTGAAATAAAAAGAAAATTATCTGGTCCCCAGTCCCAGATATCCTAAAACCACAGATAATTAAACAATAATATACCAACCATACATAATTCTTTTTAAGTTACAGACACTCCTCTAAATTGTCCCCTCTCCAAAATCCCCAATGGATGGCTAATTTACAAATTATAAGTAACAACCACGTTTTAAAACCTTGCTCATCTGAAGCCCTAAACAGTCCCCCAAATCTAATTCCAAACTTAAAAACGCCCTTCTCCTATTCCCACCTCACAAAAAGAGTAATCCCTGCCCTTGACAGCAATAAATTTTTTTTAACAGACAGGGTCTCTTTGTCACTCAGGCTGGATCGCAGGGATGCAGTCATAGCTCACTGCAGCCTCTAACTCCTAGGTTCAAGAGATCCTCCCACCTTGGCCTCCCAGGTAGCTGGAACCACAGGCACACACCAGCATGCCTGGCTAACTTTTTAACTTTTGTAGCGATGGGGTCTCACTATGTTGCTTAAGCTGGTCTTGAACTCCTGGCCTAAAGCAGTCCTCCCACCTTACCCTCCCAAAGTGCTGGGATTACAGGTGTCAGCCACTGTACCTAGCCAATGCTCGCTTTTTGTCTGTTTGTTTTTTAGATGGAGTCTTGCTCTGCCACACAGGCTTGAGTGTAGTGACACGATCTCGGCTCACTGCAACCTCCACCTCCCTGGTACAAGTGATTCTCCTGCCTCAGCCTCCCAAGTAGCTGGGATTATAGGCACCCACCACCACGCCCGGCTAATTTTTGTATTTTTAGTAGAGACGCGTTTTTGTCATGTTGTCCAGGCTGGTCCTGAACTCCTGACCTCAGGTGATCCACCTGCCTCAGCCTCCCAAAGTGCTGGGATCACAGGTATCAGTCACGGTACCCGGCCAACGCTTGTTTTTGAAATGCAAGTTTGCTCCAATGTGACTGAACACTTTTGAGCATAACCTGAATTTTGCATTTGTTCACGCACCGTTTCATCCCCAACCAAAAACTGTCGGCAGATGCTGAAAACCGCATCCGGCTGCCCTGACCTTCAGAAGAAAGCACACGCCACGTGCCGCACACCCTCCGGCAGCTCTGCCAGTGTGCTGTGAGCCACGCCTTCCCCATCCCGGGTCATGACTGTCAGATTTCAGACAACTCTCCTTCCGCCATTGCAGTCACTCACGTGCAACCCTTCAGAGGCCGTTTCCATGTGCACATTCTGGGTCTTTTCCACGGCCAAGCATGGTATTTAATGTAGTATCATGCATTTCTTTTTTTCTTTTCTTTTTTTTGAGATGGAGTTCTCGGTCTCAGAGTTGCCAGGCTGGAGTGCAGTGGCGCGATCTTGGCTCACTACAACCTCTGCCTCCCGGGTTCAAGCGATTCTCCTGACTCAGCCTCCCGAGTAGCTTGGACTACAGGCGCCTGCCACCACGCCCGGCTAATTTTTTTTTTTTCTTTGTATTTTTAGTAGAGACGGGGTTTCCCCATGTTAGCCAGGATGGTTTTGCTCTTGTGACCGCCCGTGATACGCCCGTCTTGGCCTCCCACAGTGCTGGGATTATAGGCATGAGCCACCCTGTGCCAGGCTTTCCCCCCACCTTGAGACAGAATCTCGGTCTGTTGCCCAGGCTTGAGTGTCGTGGTGTGATCTCGGCTCCCTGCAGCCTCCACCTCCCGGGTTCAAGTGACTCTCCTGCCTCAGCCTCCTTAGTAGCTGGGACTACAGGTGCATACCACCATGCCCACCATGGTGAAACCCCGTCTCTTATACAAAATATGTGTTTTGGATCTCAGACATATTTTATGATTTTGTATCTACAGATGTGTTTCATTTTATACAGGAGAATATAAATTAAGGCCCATCAATTGGATGGAGTTTTTTTTGTTGTTGTTTTTTGAGATGGAATCTTGTACTGTCACCAGGCTCGAGTGTAGTGGTGACATCTTGGCTCACTGCAACCTCCACCTCCTGGGTTCAAGTGATTCTCCTGTCTCAGCCTCCCGAGTAGCTGGGACTGCAGCTGCGCACCACCATGTCCAGCTAATTTTTGTATTTTTAGTAGAGACGGGGTTTCACCATGTTGGCCAGGATGGTCTCAATCTCTCAACCTCCCGAAGTGCTGGGATTACAGGTGTGAGCCACCGTGCTGGGCCGGTAGTATGCATTTCTAAACCACATAACATGTAGAAAACAGTGCCACCATTTCTACTAGGTCCCCATCTCTCTTTTCTCTTAACATGTCACTGATAAAGGTTTCTTTGTTTTGTTTTTGTTTTTTAATTTTTTGTTGTTGTTTTGAGACGGTCTCCCTCTGCCGCCCAGGCTGGAGTGCTTTGGCGTGATCTCGGCTCACTGCCCTGGGTTCAAGTGTTCCTCCTGCCTTGGCCTCCCAAAGTGCTGGATTACAGACGTGAGCCACCGCATCCAGCAAGCTTTCCCTTGTTTTCATTTTTTAAATTTTATTTATTTAATTTTTTTGAGATGAAGTCTTGCTCTGTTGCCCAGGCTGGAGTTATGTGGCTCAATCACGGCTCACTGTAACCTCCACCTCCTGGTTCAAGCAATTCTCCTGCCTCAGCCTCCCGAGTAGCTGGGATTACAGGTGCGCACCACCATGCCCAGCTAATTTTTGTACTTTTAGTAGAGACGGGGTTTCACCTTGTTGGCCAGGCTTGTCTTAAACTCTTGATCTCAGGTGATCCACCCAACTCAGCCTCCCAAAGTGCTGGGATTACAGGCCTGAACCACCATACCTGATTTTTTTTTTTTTTTTTTTTGAGACAGAGTCTGCTCTGTTGCCCAGGCTAGAGTGCAGTGGAGTGATCTCAGCTGACTGCAACCTCCACCTCCCAGGTTCAAGAGATTCTCCTGCCTCAGCCTCCCAAGTAGCTGGGATTACAAGCACATGCCACCACGCTCAGCTAATTTTTTGTATTTTAGTAGAGACAGGTTTTCACTATATTAGCCAAGATGGTCTCAATCTCCTGACCTTGTGATCACCCCGCCTCAGCCTCCCAAAGTGCTGGGATTACAGGCGTGAGCTACCACGCCTGGCTGGCTTATTTATTTATTTATTTTTTAAGATGGGGTTCACCATGACAGCCAGGCTGGACTTGAACTCCTGACCTCAGGTGATCCACCCACCTCGGCCTCCCAAAGTGTTAGGATTACAGGCGTGAGCCACCATGTCCGGCTTATTTATTTATTTATTGACAGTTTCGCTCTGTCACCCAGGTTGAAATGGTACAATCTTGATTCACTGCAAACTCCACCTCTCTGGTTCAAGCAATTTTGTGCCTCAGTTTCCCCAGTACTTGGGATTACAGGCACCTGCCACCACTCCAGCTAATTTTTTATATTTTTAGTAGACACAGGGTTTTGCCAGGTTGGCCAGGCTGGTCTCGAACTCTTGAGCTCAGGCAATCCACCCATCTCAGCCTCCCAAAATACTAGGATTACAGGCATAAGCCACCTCAATTGGCCTGCTGTTTTAAAACTTCATTTAAGTGGAATCTCTTGTATCTGGCTTCTTTCACTCAGTTTTCTGCCTGTGAAGTTACCCTGTGTCATTGTGAGCATTGGGTACCTATCCTCCTTTCTTACTGCTGTATAGTATTCCATTGTGCTGATCCATCCTAATTTATTTATCCATCTTCCTGCTGATTTATAACACTTGGGTCGTTACCAGCCTGGAATTTTTTTTTTTTTTTTTGAGATGGGGTCTCACTCTCACCCATGCTGGAGCCCAGTAGGGAGACAGTAGCTCACTGCAGCCTTGACCTCCCCGGCTAAAGTGATCCTCCTGCCCCAGCCTCCTGAGTAGCTGGGACTACAGGTGTGTACCACAGCTCCTGGCTAATTTTTTGGTTTTTTTTTTAGACATGGGGTCTTGCTAAGCCAGGCTAGTCTTGGACTCCTGAGCTCAAGTAATCCTCCTACCTTGGCCTCCCAAAACGCTGTGCAATTACAGGCGGGAGCTATCACACGTGGCAAGAACTGTGTGGATTTGAACCCTGTCAGACTCCAGAATCTAATCCCTCCCTCCCTCGACAGCTTTAGCTTTACTGGGGAGGCCTCAGTTTACCTGAGATACCTCATCGTGCCATGCCCCATCCTCAAAAAGGGTTTCCTCTCCAAAAAATCCAGAGAATCACTCTTGGTACTGGAGAAGGTTGGTAGGAAGTCACTGCTATTCCTATGGGGTCGGGACGAGCATGGTTCTCTTTTCAGAAGAGGAAACAGAGGGAGATTCCGTTACCCGAGAACACCCAGGGAGCCAGCGACTGCACCAGGACTCAACTCTGGCCCGTCCAGCTCCCAGGCCGCACTCTCAGCCCTTCGGGTCCCAGACGCCCGGGCCAGACACGGAGCCTGGAGGTGGACGGGGCGGGCAGAGGGCGGGGCTGGCGCCCAGGGGAGGTCGCGGCCGCCTCACCTTCTCGCTGCTGCTGCTGCAGGAGGGGCGGCGGCTGGGGGACGCTGTGCGCGATGGGCGTGATGGCCGCGGTGGGGTACATGGCTGCGGAGACCGGAGCAAGACACAGGGCGAGGGGGGGCGTGAGGCCACGTGGGCGCCCCGGGCATTGGGGCGGGGCGGGGCCACGAGAGAAGGCGGGCCAAAACGAGAATGGGTGTGGCCATTGCCCTGGGGGGGCGGGGCCATGTCAGAGGGCGGGGCCATGTCAGAGGGCGGGCCCAAGAACACAAGGACAAAATGAAGTAGGGCCATTGCCTGAGGGGCGGGGCCGTGGTGGAGGGCAGGGCCAAGACAAAGAGGCGGTGTGGGTTTGGGGTGGCGGTGGACCCCTTGGCTTGAGGAGAGGGGTACGGGAGGTGGGCCACAGCAGAGGGCGGGGCCAAGGTCATAGGTAGGCGCAGAGTGGGTGAGACCATTGCTTGAGGGGTGGAGCCACAGTGAAGGGCATGGCCAAGACCAGGGTGAAGGGGAAGAGTGGGGCGGGGCCGTGACTTGATAGAGGGCTATGTGGGCAGGACCATGAGTTGAGGGGCGGGGCCGAAGCAGAGGGCGGGGTTACAGCCAGGCCTTGGGAAGTAGAGCGAGAGGTAGGGGCAGGGCTTTATCAGAGAGGCGTGGTCAGAGTAAAGACAGCATGAGAGGGGCGGGGCTAGGAGCTGCAGGAGGAAGGTAAGCGGCGGGGCCGAGAGCTGGGGTTGGGTCAGGGCCAGAGGTGTGGTCAAGGGGAACCGCCTCTCCCCAGCACAGAATATGAGAGGGTGAGGCTAGGGGTAAGCGCTGACCTTAAGGGACAAGGGAAGGTCCTGTTTGCGGCTATACCTGGTGGTAGGGTGGAACCAGGAACAGGGCTAGGGGTTGCATACGGGACAAGAGGCCAAGGGTGTGCCCTGAGGGGCGGGGCCAGAGGTAGGAGGCGTGGCTAGGCACAGAACAAGGCGGGGGCGGGGCCAGAGCCCAGCGTGGGCACGCGGGCTGCCTCCTACCTGTGTACTGCTGGACTCCGGAGAAGGCAGGATGCAGTGTCTCGGCCACAGTCGGGCTCTGAGCTGCTGAGCAGACGGAGAAGCTAAGTGGGGCGGGGGCAGCAGAAGTCTTCCATCCACCCCCGATGCTTAGGAGCCCGAAAGAGAGCAACCAACACACCCCCCAGCTTCGCCTCTGTGCTAAACCCTCTGTAGTACCAGGAAGCTGAGGCCGAGGAAGATGAAGCCACTGGCACAGGCCCACTCAGATAGCAAACGGCAGGAGCTGAACTGGCATGGGGTTTCTCGGACTCCAGAGACACTTCACCATCGCTCCCATCTCTCTCTCCCTATCCGGACCCCTTGCCTCCCAAGGGGACCCTTCACGCCTTTCTATTCTCTGGGTTCACCAGGACTTCAGCCTCCACCTCAAATCGCCACCTGCCCCCATCCCCCGCCCCGCCTCCCTGTCCACTTCAGTTTGCTCATCAGACACCCTGTGGTTCCCCCATCCAGCTGTGGCCTTCTTGCTACCACTAGGGAAAGGGGGAGGGGGAGGGAAGAGGTTGTCCAGGCCACCAAAGCTGATGAGTCTGGGTAAAAATTCAACCAAAAAATTCTGCTCGAATAGAGACTAGTGTGCTAGAAGTCAGGGGATAGTGGCGGTGGCGGTGACTCCAAAGGGGGTAGCATGGAGTTCACTTTGGGGCCGTGGAGCAGTTCTGTATCTTCACTGTGGGGGACACACAAGTCTATATCTGTAACAAAATGGCAATGAACCCCTCCCCCCGCCACACACACAAAGTGCATGCAAAAAGTCATGAAATCAGGTCGGGCACGGTGGTTCACACCTATAATCCCAGCACTTTGGGAGCCCGAGGCAGGCAGATCACAAGGTCAGGAGTTCGAGACCAGCCTGACCAACATGGTGAAACCCCATCTCTACTAAAAATACAAAAAACAGCCGGGCGTGGTGGCATGCACTTGTGATCCCAGCTACTCAGGAGGCTGAGGCAGGAGAATCACTTGAACCAGGGTGGCAGAAGCTGCAGTGAGCTGAGATCGTGGCACTGCACTCCAGCCTGGGTGACAGAGCAAGACTCTATCTCAAAAAAAAAAAAAAAAGTCGTGAAATCAGCTGGGTGTGGTGGCTCATGCTTGTAATCCCAACACTTTGGGAGGCCGAGGCAGGAGGAGTGCTTGAGCCCAGGAGTTTGAGACCAGCCTGGGCAACATGACAAGACCCTAATTTCTACAAAAAATAAAATAAAATAAAATAAAATAAAAAATGAGCCAAACATAATGGCATGTAGCTGTAGTCCCAGTGACTCGGGAGGCTGAGGTGAAAGGATCACTTCAGCCCCGGTGTTTGAGAGTTCAAGGATGCAGTGAGCTGTGATCGCGCCACTGCACTCCAGCCTGGGCGACGAGTGAGACTCTCTGTCTCTAAATAAGTAAGTAAATAAATAAATAAGGGGTGAAATTTGAATGTGGTCTGGAGTTGAATTAACTGCATGGTGCCAGTGTTCATTTCCTGGATTTGACAGTGTTCTGTGGTTAGGGAAGCTGTTGGCCTTGTGGAAGCTGGGTGAAAGGCACATGGGACTACTCGGTGGTATTTGGGTAACTCCCTGTGAACCTCCAATCATTTCAAAATCAAATGTTAAAGCCAGATGCAGTGGCTCACACCTATAATCCCAGCACTTTGGGAGGCCGAGGTGGGTGAATCGCTTGAGCCCAGGAATCTGAGGTCTGGGCAACATAGCAAGATCCCATCTGTACAAAAATTTAAAAAATAGCCGGGCATGATGGTGCATGCTTGTAGTCCCAGCTACAAGGAAGGCTGAGATGGGAGGATGGCTTGAGCCCTGAAGATGGAGGCTGAAGTGAGCTGTGACGGCGCCACTGCACTCCAGCCTGAGTGACACAGTGAGATACTGCCTCTAAAACTAACTAAATAAAAATAATTAAAAAAATAAAAAGTTAAAAATAAATTCTCCTACATGGTGGAAGGACAGATGACTTACTTCCCATAAATTACATGCTGGAAGATATTTGCCCTAAAATTGGAGGTGTAGCATGGAGAAAGTAAGGGCCTCTGCTTCATGAAGACAGGTGCAGTCCAAATCAGTGGGTCATTCATTTTGTATTGAATGAATAAATGAATGAATCCAGGCATTGATATCTCCCCAAATGATACAGATGAATACGATTTCTGGGCTGAGCACGGTGGCTCATGCCTGTAATCCAAGCACTTTGAGAAGCTGAGACAGGTGGATCACCTGAGGTCAGGAGTTCGAGACCAGCCTGGCCAACATGGTGAAACCCCATCTCTACTAAAAATACAAGAATTAGCTGGGCATGGTGGCGCGCGCCTATAATCCCAGCTACTTGGGAGGCTGAGGCAGGAGAATCACTTGTACCTGAGAAGCGGCGGTGATCACGCTATTGCACTCCAGCCTGGGTGACAGTGAGACCCTGTCTCAAACGACACAAAACAAAACAAAACAAAAACCAATGGTGCCATTCCTGGAACCAGGTGGCACGTGAAGCCTTTTGCACATGGATTAAATTGTTGATGCAACTTTATGAGGTTACTAATATTATCTGCTCCTTTTCCCAGATGAGCAAACTGAGGCTTAGAGACTTAAGGAGCCCACCCAGGGTCAAGGAACTGGACCTTAAGCTCAGAAACATCCAGATGCACCGTTTTGAAGTGTTATCACCCTGGCATGGCCTCTCTTTCTATGTCCACAGCTCTTATCTGCTCAGCCGAGACACCCTTTTGCCTGCCCTGCTTATCCCTGGGCACCGTGATGCAGGGACTCATACTTGTTCCAGAAACACCATCTCTACTCCCTGACACTCTCCTAGGCCCCAGAGGACCACCCCGAGTTACCTGGGTAGGGCACAAGGCCATTGGCATAGACGGTTTCCAGGGCAGGGTGCCCACTTGGAAAGGGCACGACACCTGCAAAGCCGTTGGTGATGGGAGCCACGAGGCCGGGCACCGCGGTGGTGCCCAGCAGCGGGGGTGAGTGCAGCCCTGCGGAGCAGAAGAGGGTCATGGGGAGGCTGGTTCTGGCCCTGGCCCTGCCCATTCATCCTTGGGCTCCTAGCAGAGGCTCACCAGAGGCAGGAGCGATGGGTGTGGCAGGCAGCCCATTGAGGCTGACGGCGCCGATCTGCTGGATATGACAGGGTGAGAAGGCCACGCCGGGACTCAGGTAGCTGCCCGAGGTGGACAGCACTGTTGTCTGCTGTTGCATGAGCTGGAGGTGAAGAAGTGTCACAGTTGGGGTGACACCTGGCCTGAGATCATGGCTCACGAGGGGAGGCTTGGTTCCCCAGTAACTAGAGGGGAAGTCAGGATGGGTATTTTGGCTCAGGCTGGGATCCGAATTGGAGCTCAGCCTGGGATCGAGGCTCTGCCTGGGGGCAGGGATCAGTTAGGAATTGGAACTCAGCCTGGGAGCAGGGATCGGTTAGGAAGTGAGGTTCAGCCCGGATCAAGGCTCAGACTAGGATCAGGGCTCAGTTAGGAAGTGAGGCTCAGCCTGGGACTAAGGCTCAGTCTAGGATTAGGGCTCAGTTAGGAAGTGAGGCTCAGCCTGGGACTAAGGCTCAGTCTAGGATCAACACTCAGTTAGGAAGTAAGGCTCAGACTGAGATCAAGGCTCCATGTAGGATCAAAGTTTAGTTAGAAATTGAGGCTCTGCTTGGGATAGGGTTTCAGTCAGGAGCTTGGGCTCAACTTGGGATCAGGTCTCAGCCAAGGTGGAGCTTGGTCAAGTCAGGTATCAGTTTGGGTTCGGTCTGGATTTGGAGGTTCAGCCAGAATTGGGCCTAATCTAGATGTGGGGCACAGCCAGGTTCTTGGGCTCAGTCCAAGATTTGGTGTTAATTTGAGATTAGGGCTCAGTCTTCTGGATTTAGGGGCTCGGTCTAAGGTTGCTCTCTATTTGGAGTTGGGGTTCAGCCACACCAGGACAGGACCCTGAGTCAGGGAGATGGAGGGAGAGATGGGAGATGGGCCAAGAGGCAGGAGCCCCCGACAGAGAGTAGACAGAGATGGCAGAGACAGAGCCGGACCCCCAAAGCCATCACTGGGTCACTCACAGCCTGGGCGTAGGCACTGTAGGGGCTGAAGGGCAGTGTGAGGGAGGGCGTCAGGATGCCCAGCTGGCCCACCATCTGCTGCATGCGCCGGAGCGTCCGTTCCTTGTCCGTGTCGGCGAACTTGACCACCAGGCTGGAGGAGGCTCCCTGTAGGGGCAGCAGCGAGCAGGGAGGGAAACGGGCTGGGAGGTAGCCAGGACTCTGGGGTCCCTGGATCCACATCAGCTCAGGACCCCTGGGTGAGGGGCTTAATGCCAGTGGCTGCCAGCCATGTCCACAGGCCCCCAGTCCCAGGACCAGGGGCCACAGCAAGGACCGCGTGGAGATCAGCATCCTGGGCCCAGCGGCGTCTGCGCAGGTGCAGCGCCCAGACCTAGGGGGCTGTGACGGGGCACAGGTGGGGGCCCTGACTGTCAGCCACACACTCAAAATAGATGGAGAAAAGCCACAGATGGAGGCACCTATGACTTCCGCTCACGTGAGAACAGGTGAGAAACCCACTTCCGAAGGAAAACAGCAGGCTCAGGTGGACAACGCTGCTTTTGTCACCCAGACCTGAAACTCCAATCTCCAGAAAGGAACAACTGGGGCACAGATGGATGGCCCTCCAACTCTCTCTCACACCTGAGAACAGGTGAGACTCCAGCCACAGGAGAGGAAGGATGTGGGACAAGTAGATGATCCTGACTCTGTCCCTCGTGCCAGGAGCTAGCGGGGAGTTCAGCCCCAGAGTTTTGTGCCCTGTGCAAGCAGATGAACCTGTGATCCATCCACCCAGCGGACAGCGGAAGGCTGCCACCACTAGGGACAGGAGGCCCTGCTTTGCTGGAGCACAGACAGAAACCATGTGACTGCCATCCCACCCCATGGGACAGGTACCACACAGCTGAAATCTGCCAACAGGCAGCCCCGGGCAGCTGAGACGGTGGTGAGCAAGGGGTATCTGTCTGTGCAGTCAGGACATGGCAATGGGTCCTGATATCAGTGTCAAGAGAAGCCTGGTGGCCGGGTGCAGTGGCTCATGCCTGTAATCCCAGCACTTTGGGAGGCCAAGGTGAGCGGATCAACTGAGGTCATGGGTTCAATACCAGCCTGGCTAACATGGCAAAACCCTGTCTGTACTAAAAATACAAAAATTAGCTGGGTGTGGTGACACGTGCCTGTAACACCAGCTACTTAGGAGGCTGAGGCAGCAGAATCACTTGAACCTGGGAGGCGGAGGTTGCAGTGAGCTGAGATCCCACGACTGCACTCCAGCCTGGGCAACAGGTCAAGACTCTATCTCAAAAAAAAAAAAAAAAGAGAGAGAGAGAGGCCTGGGGTCAGGGGCCCAGGAGGCCATTCCCACCCCCTATACCCTGATTTGGGCTTAAGAAGAAAAATATCTTCCCCTTCGACCAGTTCCTCCCTGATGAACTGTCTCCCAGCAGAATGCACCCTGTAGCCTCCCTGTCTTGGCTGACATGCCCCCTTTGATAGAGAACTCACTCCTCCAGATGCCTACCAGCCCTGTCCCTGATGTCTCTGAGCTTGAGAACACTTACCCTTGTATTGAGGGTAAGCTAAGCCCCTCCGCTTTGGGCTTTCAGAGCTGAGAGGGGAGGGTCATTCCTCCCAGGAGCCATCTTCCTTGTAGGAGATTTGGAAATGTGTGTGTAGGGATGATGGCCCCCGGGTACTCCATCCTCAGGGGAAGGGCCATCCCCAGTGACTACTTGGTCCCGCCAGCTGCTTACTGCTGCAGACCCTGGGACCTGTCCCCAGTCCCCATCCCTACCTCACCCAGGGAGTCCACGGCTCCCATCCAGGCTTCCCCTACCGTCTGTTTTCTGACCAGGCCTCCTCCCCATCCACCTGGCCCCAGCTCAGGCCTCCTCCTCCCTCAGCTGGACCTTGCCCTAGCCTCCTCCCTGGCCTCCCAGCCTCCTCCCTGGCCTCCCAACCTCCAGTCTTGCACCCTGCCCATCCCCTACATTGGCCCCAAAGGGATATCCGCAATCAACCTGGCCGGTCTCCTCCCTTGCTCTAAACCATCCGTGGCTCCCTACTGCCCTAGAGAAAGTCCCGGCTTTGCAGCCCCAAATTGCAGCCCCATCTTCTGTTGCTCCTCCGGGCTGCCTGCTGCCACCTCCCAGCCTTTCTTCTTGTCCTCAGCAAATCCAACCCAGGTGTCATCCCCTCTAGGACACCCTTACATGTACACACATACACTCACACTCACAATCTATACTCACACCTGCATATACTCACAAACGTGTACACAATCACCCACAATACTGACACTCACACTCATGCACACACACACATGTGCCCGCAAACGCACCTGCAGATGCACATACATGCACTTCCTCCCCCAGGGCCCGGGCACACGCACACACATGCTCACACACATGTAGCAACACACACGGGCACTCACATAAACACACACATGTGCCAGTATCTACACACTAGCACACAATGGCACGCTTAACCATCTATACTCACACACACCCCTCGTGCACACAGCACTCACAGAACACTCTCCTACCAGTCATGACGTGCTCAGACATGCACTCACACACACATGCATGCATGTATTCTCTCAGGCACGCTGACCCACACACGCACACTGTAATACATCCACGCACACACACACTTTGCTTGCATACTCACCTCCACATCTGCACACACCCACATGCATATACCCACGCACGGGACCAGTCAGGGACTGCACCTCTTTCTCCACTTGTGCTCCCTCTGAAGGACAGCCAGGGGCTACTGGATGACAGTGATGGTAAGACTATGGCCTGTTTCATCCCTGTCCCCCTCACCCCTTTCCCATGCCCACCCCCACAGCCTAGGGCAGCTGCAACTCACCGGCATGGTCTGGCTCCCGTGCAAGGCGTGGATGGCCGCCTGCGCCTCCGTGTGGGAGGAGAACTTCACAAAAGCACAGCCTGCTCCGAGAGAAGGAGATAGAGGAGTGATGGGGTCACAGGGCTGGTGGAGTGGGGGACACACGAGAGGGGACACAGAGACCTATGTGGCCAGTGTCAGACATGCTCCCAGGGAGAGTTGATGACAGAAAGACAGCCAGCCATTTGCTCAGACAGATAGCTGGACAGTCAGCCAGACCAAGGATCAGAATGGAGGAGAATCGCACAGATAGGCGGCCACAGAGTTAGACGAAGAGCTGGTCACCCATGCAGCCAGCCAGCCAGCCTGCCATTCGTTCATTTAGTCCGGCAGAAAGTCAGCCAGCCATCCGGATAGCTGGTTAGATGGTCAGTCACAGAGTTTGTGAAGCACACAGCCAGATGGACAGTGCAAGGCTGGGCACTGTCAGGGATGAGGTCCCGTCCATCAGAACAAATGACAGGACCATAGTCCAGATAGTTATGATCAGATATGCGGAGTTAAAGTGACAGACCGCGGGACACACAGTCCCATAGGCAGAGTCAGCAGAGGCATGTGCGGGTCCAGACAGATGGACCTGTCTGACTCAGCCAGATAGATGGAAATGGTCAACCAGGAGACCTGAGCAGACCCAGACAGAGCCACACAAGCAGACAGACCACCAGAGACCACCAGATACAGGCTAATGCAAACACAGTCCCACGGACAAAGTCATAGAACAGGCAGAGGCCACCAGACCTGGCTCCAGACTGATAGAGTACTATGGAAGGACTAGCCATGTTGTGGGGGGAGGGGGTGAAATGTTCTGGAATTACACAGTGGTGATAGTTGCGCGGCTTTATGAATAGATTATACATTTTCTTTTTTAGATGAAGGCTCACTCTGTTGCCCAGGCTGGAATGCAATGGCACCATTTCGGCTCACTGCAATCTCCACCTGCCGGAGGCCTCAGCCTCCTTAGTAGCTGGGATTACAGGTGCCCGCCATGACGCCCGGTTAATTTTTGTATTTTTAGTACAGATGGGGTTTTGCCATGTTGGCCAGGCTGGTCTTGAACTCCTGACCTCAAGTGATCCACCCGCCTTGGCCTCCCACAGTACTGGGATTGCAGGCATGAGCCACTAGGCCTGGCCTCACTGTGCATTTTAAAAGGGTGAATTTGGTGGGATGTGGATGACATCTCAATTTTAAAAAGGAAGAACCAGGCAATGCTCTGAAACCATCGGATACATTCGGTCCTAGTAAGGTAGGAAAGACCAGAGTGTTCGGTTCCAGATGAGCTCTGTGGACAGAGACCACCAGACACCGTCATTTGAACTCTCAAGAAGGAAGGCAGCCAGACAGGCAGAGACCACCACAGTCAGTCATATGGACAAATCGTATAGACTCAGACAGAAGCAGGCGGAAACAGTTCTACGAACAGTCAGGTGGACGAATCCGAGACCAAAGGACACAGGTAACTGAGTCCCTGGAGAAGCCCCGCCCCTCTCCAGACCCCGCCTCATCCCAAGGCCACGCCCCTGCATTACCACTCACAAGCAGCCCATGGAGAAGCCCTGCCCCTCCCCAACCACGCCCCATCCAAGGCCACGCCCCCGCACCCCCGCCCCCCCCGGAGAAGCCCCGCCCCTTCCTAGGGTCCCACCCCAGAGCCAGCTCCTCCCCATACTGCAGCCCCAGCCCCTCCCAAGGCCCGCCCCTGCAATTCCCCCACAGGCCCTGCCCCTGCTGCCTCACTATAGGCTCCACCCCTGGAGAAGCCCCGCCCCTCCCCAGGGTCCCAGGGTATAGCCGGCTCCTCCCCACGCTGCAGGCCCCACCCTCCCCACAGGCCCCGCCCCCAGTGCCAGCCCCGCCCCTCGCAGTCCCCGCCCGTCACCTTTGCTGCTGCCGTCAGGCCCCCGGAGCACGGTGCACTCGTCGATGACCCCGAAGGGCTGGAACAGCCGCAGCACGTCCTCCTCTGACTGCTGCTTGTTCAGCATCCCCACGAACAGCTTCCGGTCCCCTGTGGGCGGCGACACCCACCTCAGCCGAGTCCCCGGCCTCCGGGAGGGCCTCCGGGATTTCTCCCTCCCTCCCTCCAGCAGAGTGGAGGCGGCAGGGCAGGAAGATGCGGCGCCCGGGTCCTGCCGGCTCCGGTTCTGCGCCTGCGAGGGAGGACCCAGCCGCGCCCTTTCCTTGCCCCGGATCTCTCCACCCTCCCACGGGCCCTGCAGGTTCCCATCTCCGGGCTTCTGCCCGCCTGGAATGCACTCCCTGCAGTCTTTTGGGGTCTCTGCTCCACTGCTCCCCCTCCAGGCGGAGATGACCTCTCCCTCTGGTGCACTCAGCCCGCACCGAACACTACGGCTAGGAGCTGCCTCGCCGGGCCTGGGTCCCTGTCTGTCTGTCTTTCTGTCTGCTCCCCCGTACCTGCCAGCGGAGATGGGCACTGACGGTCCCTGGACCCTCTTGGTGCCCAGCAGAGGCCCCTGCCCAACCTTGTCGGGATCAAGAGGGGACAGGCAGTCACCATCTGTGGAATGGAGTGAGGGTTCACGTGCTCACAGGACCAGGGGCCCTGGCAGCCTGGACCCTCTGCCGGGTGGGGCTGGGCTGGAACCTGGTCTGAGGCAGGGGCTGGGCCAGCCTGTCCTGTGTGAGCTCTGCCCCTTTGGGTAATCGCATGCTCCCTGGTAATGGGGAACGTGGTGGCTTCATCTCCGAGGGACGGCGAGCTGGGTTACTATGGAAACCGCTCTCGGCAGCTGTCACTCATGGGGGTGGGAAGGAGAGAGAAAAACCAGCAGAGAGACCGAGAATCAGGCAGAGAGAGACAGATCAGAGAGAGCACGTGCGAGAGAGACTGCGAGAGACAGAGAGAGAATAAGAGGGATGAAGAGACAGAAGAGAAAAAGGAGAAAGAGATACACAGAGGGCGATGGAGAGAGAAATAGAGTGGGGACATGCAGACACCACCTCACTTCTCCCTGTCCCACGCTGGCAGCCAGGGTGGAAAGTGTGAAAGGGGTTTCCAGCCCCTTTACCGGACTCCTACATATACCTAGAGGTCCTAACACTCCTGCCCCACATCACTCAACCAAGTCTGGCTGCCCCTCTTCAGTCTCCACTTGAGGTGGAGAGGAAATATACACATTTTCAAGAATGACTAGCTTTGGGTCCCAAGGAACAGCAGAGTATGTCCCCGCCATGGGGATGTCCTGACAGCAAGCTCCAGCCCCACGCAGACCCCAGTGGCCCCAGCCTCCCACAGTCAGGCACGCACGTGCAAACATGCCCATGCGCAGGCCGGGCACACGCACATGCATGCGGGCAGGAAGGCATCCCACCGCACACCGTACACGCGTGCTCATGTGCACCATCTGCAGAAACACAAATGCACACGTGCACGGACTCACACATCTGCACGCAGGCAAGCCGGGTGTACACTCATATACACACACATTCAAGCATGCACATACAAGCACACAAACATTTGCACACAGAGACCCCAGAGAGCAATCCCCAGCCATTCAGGCCCCCATCGTCTGTGTTTAAAGTCCCTGGATTATTGCACCCTGAAGGGAGTGGGATATTTCAAACTCTAGTGGGAAGGCAGCTGGACCTGGCTAGACCCCTCCATCCTCCCTTGGGGTCTATGGACATAGCCCCTGCTGCTCTCTGGAGCCCCTGCCTCTCCCCCCACCAAGAGGTGTGTGAGCAGGCATGCGACTACTGCGTGCTTTGGGGCAGGGAGGCCAGTTCCAGATGCACAGGCCTTGGCCACTGTCCCTTTGGGGGAGGAAGGAAGGAAGAGATTTTCCTCCTTCTCCCATTCCTCTGCCAACCCCCAGCCTGGCAGCCACAGAGAGATGACAACTACCTCCGCGGCTTTCGCTGTCCGCAGGCTTCACCTGGATTGGCCGCGCCATCTGCAGAGAGAGGGGTAAGGGAAAAGTCAGGCTCAATGGTGGGAGTGTGGTGGGCGGGGGCTTTGCCTGAGCTCTGCCGTGCAGCCCTGCTCACCTCCCACCACCAGCCCTCAGCACCCCACTAATACCCCAGTCAAAGCAAATGACACACGGTCCCGCCTACAAGGGGACTTGTGTGGCGAACTCTTAGTTAGCCCTCAAAACCCAACAACAATATCCCTTCCTTCAGGAAACCTCCTTGCTTCCCCAAATGCGATAGGCCCAATTCCTCCAGTCTCTTAGTACGATGTGACTTTGCAGTTCCTACCCTCAAGAACTAGAGTCTGTTTTCCCACTCCTGGCACTTGAACTTGGCCAAGTGACTTGCTGTGACCCACAGAATGTGGTGGAAGTTAAGTTGTGGGAGTTCTGAGCCTAGGCCTCGAGGGACATCGTAGCTTCCACTCTTGGAAGCCTGAGACTGCCCGGTGGAGAAGCCCAAGAGGAGCCCCCCTCTCCCCGTCCTCTCCTGCTAAGCTCAGTGGAGTCTCAGCTGACTGCAGCTGTGGAGTGACCCCAAGAGAGGCCAACAGAAGAACTGTCCAGCTGAGACCAGACTGAGCTTTGCAGAATCAAGAACAAATACAATTACTGGAGTTGTTTGTTACTCAGCAGTGCTGACTGATACACCAAGGCAGCTACATTTAGCCACATCTCCCAGGAGCTTTGGGAGGGGTCATACAGGAGCTTTGGGTGGGGTCATACCTGAGTGGACCCGCCTGCCATCTGGTTTCATTGTTCTAGACAATTTTGTCCCCCGCCCCAGGCACTGAAAATCACGTTTAATGAAGAAACAAATTCTCCCTTGCACCAACCCTCACAACATACCCAGTCCTAGGTATGAGCTAATTTGGATATTTGAGAACAGGTTCCAGGGAAGAGAGAGTTGGGGAGGCATTTGTATCTCCATTGGTCCTGGGACAGAACCCTTCTCCCAACCTCATGTCTGTGGCAAACTCCTATTCAACCTTCAAAACCCAGCTTAAAAATGCCCATGCAGGGACTCTTCCCACTCCTCTGGGCTCCTTCCTCCCTCTGTCTCAGGGCCGGAAGTGTCTATGTCTTGTTCTGTCTCTCTCCAGACAGGGGACCACAGTATCTCTCCACATGGGGAGGGATACATGGAGGAAATGGAGAAACCTGCTGAACAGAAGGGGCCAGAAGGAAGTGGCCAACTTCCACCAACACAGAGAGGCATCTGGAATGGGAAAGACTGCTAGTCTCAGAGCTTTTTCCAAGTCAGACAAACTTGAAATAGATCCCCATGCCCCCCGAGCCCTATGGGTTCCGAAGTGCTCTTTCTACTCTTCTGACTTTTGAATTTTGGCAGAGAACACACTTGAAAAACGCCCGGTTTTCTTTTTCTTCTTTTTGAGAGGGGGTCTCACTCTGTCGCCAGGCTGGAGTGCAGTGGTGCGATCTCGACTCACTGCAGCCTCCGCCTCCCGGGTTCAAGCCATTCTCCTGCCTCAGCCTCCCGAGTAGCTGGGACTACAGGCGCACGCCGCCATGCCTGGTTAATTTTTTTTGTACTTTTAGTAGAGATGGGGTTTCACCACGTTAGCCAGGATGGTCTGGATCGCCTGACCTCGTGATCCGCCCACCTCGGCCTCCCAAAGTGCTGGGGTGACAGGCGTGAGCCACCGCGCCCGGCCAAATGCCAGGTTCTCTAATCACAGCACAGCTGCCCAACAAGCGTCAGAGAGAGCTGCAGTTTTCACCCCATTCTACAGATGTCAACATCGAGGTTTCTGTTATTTGTCTAAGAGAGAAGTTACCTGTGTAAGGTCGTGGTGAGTGAAGACTTTCTGGACTCCAGATTCAGTGGTCTGTCCACCCACTCCCATAAACAAGGCCCCCTCCCCATCTCTGAACCCCCAAAGTCCTCTCCCCACGGAGCTCTGTCCCGTGTGATCTGACCTCTTCTCTAAGCCGCATCCCAGCTCCATGTCCTCTCTCCCACCCTGAGCAACCCCTCGGCTTGCACTCCGTTCCTCAGAGACCCCTCTGCATGTCCACCCCCCACCCAAGCTTCCCTCTTCTCTTCAAGCCCCTCCCACTTCAGAGGCTCTTCCTCATCTCTGGGTCCCCTCCCCTCTCCAAGACCCTCTCCCATTCTGACACCCTCCTTCCTGAGTGTATGTCCCTGGCACATATGGTTTCTTCAATCTGAACTCAGCCTTGGGGGCCCCAGAACCAGAGAGGCCCCTGCCTCCCTGACCCTGTGCTCCCAATCCTCCCAGCCCAAACTTCCTGCCCCCCAGCCACACCCTCAGAGGGACCCTGACCACCTAGGAGAGGAAAACCTCCGTGCCCCTCCCCCACCCAGTTAGCTGGACCGCCTTCCCACCCCATGCCCCCCATGCATACACACCAGGGCCCTTTCCACCTGGGTACCACACCCTGCTAGGCTGGAGGCAGGAGGGGAGATGGTTTCAACCAGATGGGACCAGCTTCTGGGCTGGGAGGGGGGTGCCAGGGGAGGTGGGGAGAGATGGGGGGCACCTGCAGGAGCTCCAGCCTCCTGCTCCCCCCCACCCCTCCCACCCCACCTCCGTTGGCCCTCACCTCCTCCCCCCTCCCAGCACCTTGGGCAGATGAGGATGGGGTTGCCATGGCAACGCTGATTCACCACACGGAAGCTGGCAATTGTTGTTGCCATGGAAACCGCCTCTTAGGGGCAAGCCCAGCTCCTGCCTTGCACAAAAGAGATATTTAAATATAATCTGGAGATGGACGAGGGAGGCGGGGAGGGGCGGCTGCGGGGAGAGAATCTGCCCCCATCACTGAACCCTCCACCCCCACCTTGTTCTGGGGTTGGGGGGCTGGGGTAACTCTTCCCCATCTCCCCCACCCATCACATAGCCTGGGCCCTTCCGCCTCCTACTGGGAGGTCCCTTCCCCCCTCCTGGGTCAGCTCGGGCGGCCGGGAAGAGGGGGTCCTGGTCTGGTCCAGAGAAGCCAGCTGGGTAGCCCCCTCCTCTCCAGGCCTCCACACCAAAGCCGAACTCCAAGGCCCGGCTGTCCCCACCCCGCGGCCCGGCGCCCGCCTTACCCACCGGCCTGGAGACGCGCGCCAGGCTGGCATCCACGTGCCGCCGCCCGCCCGCCCGGCCGCCCCGGGCGCACAGGCGCGCACCCGCCACACTGCACGCTCGGGCCCCGCGCCGCGCGCCCTGCGCCCTGCGCCCGACGCCCAGGCGGGCCCTGCCTGCGCTGCCTGCCCGAGCCAGGAGGAGGCGTGCCAGGAGGGGATCTGGGTCTCCCCACACCCCACCCCTCCTGTCGCCCCTGCCCGTCCATCTGGCTCTGCCCACCTCCTCCCGGCTCCCTCTCTCCATCTGTCCCACCGAGGTCTCTGCCGAGTGCACTGCCTCCCTCCTCCACCTTCTCTGGCTCCCCATTGCCGCATCCCTTCCCTGACCCTTCTCTTCCTCTCCATTTCTTCAGCAGCATTCCTGCTGTGCCCCAGGCTGAGTAATTTTGGAACTCCAGGAAGGACCCCCCACTAGCCTGGCAGAGGCGGGGACAGAGCCAGACACAAGCTCTCCCATGGGGTCAGGGTTGGAGCTGGGAGAGCAGAGGGCAGAGGACAGTGAAGAGCCAAAGGCTGTCCTGGGCCTGAACTGAAGATGGAAAATTTACATTGGGTTTTGGAGTAGGAGTAGGAGTTCGGAGGGGTTGGACACAATTTCTCATGTTGGAGCAATACCTACATCTGCTGACCCATTTAGTCTCAGGATAACTTAATGAGATGAAAACATACGTTCCCATTTTACAGATGGGCAAACGAAGGCCAGAAAGGAGAGGTTGGGAGGCCAAGGTGGGAGGATCACTTGAACCCAAGGAGTTTGAGGCTGCAGTGAGCTATGATCACCCCACTGC